TTTGTCTTTTTGAGACAGGGTCTCTCTGTAGCCCCAGCTGTCCTGGAACTCACTATGTAGACCAAGCTGGCCTTGAACTCACAAAGATCTGCCTGCCTCTGCCTCCCAAGTGCTGGGATTAAAGGTGTGTGCTACCACGCCCGGCTTAAGAAATAATTTTTAAAATACATTTTAAAAAATTTTATGTGTGGCTGGGTGTGGTTTATGTATGAGCATATTGCCTGCATGTATGTAGTGCATCCGTGTCATGCAATGTCCACAGAGGTCAGACAAGGGTGGTGGATTTCCTTGGAACTGGTGTTACAGGTGGTTCTTAGCTGCCATGTAGGTGCTCAGAATCAAACCCCAGTCCTCTGCAAGAGCAGCTAGTGCTCTTAACCACTGAGACATTTCTCCAGCCTCAAGAAGAAATAATTTTTTTAGTACACTGCTGAGGACCTTCAGCTAGTACCTTAGTGGCAAGAGAATATGCATTCCTTAAACAGAGCCTTAGAGAACAGCAAAAGTAGCTAAAGAACTTGCTATGCAGCCCAGGTTGGTCTTGAACCTGATACTCCCACCTAGGCCTCCTCAGTGCTGAGATTATAGACATGCCCACTATGCCAGGTCTCTGGGTAGTCTTCCTTTTACTTAATAGGATAGGTACTCTTTTACAAGCTTAAAAGTTTTTGTTCTATAAAAGGAATTTGATGTTTCATATTAAGGAGAAGACTATGTCAGGCAGGATGGGACACATCTATACTAGCACTCAGGAGGCTGAGGCAGGAAGAGCATGTGTTCAAGGCCAGCCTTTACAGCACAGTAAGTCCCTGTCTCAAGTTGGGGAGGGGGGATAAAAACAGAATTGAGTATTCTTACAATTTTGATAGGTCAAAAAATTAAGCAGGGTTGTATTTGTTTAGCTAAACCAGTAATTTGGCAAGCACCCAAAAGTTACTCTTACGTATTAGTTTCTTATTTTGCACAAAATTAAGTTGCGTGGTAACAATTTTAATCCCAATAAAAGGAAAATAGCCGAAGTTCCTTTTATGCTCATTTTCTAGGAAATTAAGGGATATCACGGTATGGCAAGCCATCATCAATGATCTATAGACTAATTATCCATTGCACAGAGATTGAAACTTATTTTCTTCTAACTTTTATGCCATTACAGTTCACCTGCCCAAACTTCCAGGAACAAAGCACTGGCAATTTTTTGCTAAGTAAAGAAATCTATGAAGTTTAAAAAAAGAAAATTCCAGGCATTTTAGCACGAGTGACCCAACTCTTATTGTGTGTGTGGGGAGGGGGTATGTGTGTACCTGTGCACATGTGCATGTGCACAGCATTTCAGATATTTCAGTATTTCATTCAGTTTTACATACATCTCCAAGTAGGTAAACACAATATTCTGAAGTCTGATGTCTCTAATAACTTGGGTCATTGCTCATGAGTGCTGAGTGCAACTTACCTACATGCCCAATGAATACCACATTTACATGCTCTTTCTTAGGAGCACCTGGAGGTGCAACCACCGATTTAGGTTTTGGAATTTCTTCTTCTTCCTCCATCATTTCTTGGGTACTTTCCTCTGCTGGTCTTCCATCTCCTGAGGAACCAACCCCTGGCTCTGCTTCATTTATTTCTTCTTTGTGCTCCCATGATTCTTCCGGGGACATTTCTGTCTCTCCATTTTCTACTGAAGAAAGATATTTTAACTTATAATTCTGAAGACCCACCCACACATTAAAATACACATGCTTTAAAGCAACAAAAGAAGTTATACAAACATCCTAGTGTCCTATGACACAAAAACAGAAATAGGTAGGTTTTCAAGCTGGCCTCACTGCTGATATCAGAGAGCTCTGACTCAGGGACAGTAACAGCTAGACTAGCAGCAGTAACAGCTAACTAGCAAGACTTCATCTCCTAAAGGCACACCAACGTAAACAAGAAAGTGAACATTCCCAACAGCACAGTGATTCCAGTGTGGAGAGGCCCTGACAGTGGGAAAAGAGGAAAGCTTAAAATCAGAACACTGGTCCAGCAAAGTAGCACATGCCTTTAATCCCAGCACTCAGGAGGCAGAGGCAGGCTGATCTTTGTGAGTTCAAGGTTCAAGGCCAGTCAGGGCTACACAATAAGACCCCACCTCAAATAAAAAAGAAAAATGTTAATGAAGTGTTAGAGCTATGTGTGATGTCTATGATATCAGTACTTGGGAGGTAGACCTATATAGGAAGATCAGGAGTTCAAAGCCATCTTTGGCAAGTTTGAGGCCAGGCTGAGCTACAAAAGACCCTATCTTTTAAAAATTAAGGAAAAAAAAAAAAAAAAAAAAAAAGGTCAAAGGAACAAGTACAATTCTTTAAATTGACTAGCATTCCTCTAACCTACTTGTAGTCACTCGATCTTACTATAAAGGCACTGTTAATGCTCAATTAGTTATACTTTCAAAATCTAATAGCAAAGATTGAACGTGGCTTAAGCATGGGCATTTCAGTAATCAGAACACTTACATTTGCACCTTAAATCTGAAGAGTGAAAGAGTTTCATATTACTGTGTTAATATGGTCAGAAAATCTTACCAACAGGTTCTGAAAGTTCCATGCTAACAGCTGAGTTTGAACCTAGAAAAGAAATTGAAATATAATACATATTCATAAAACATTATCTAGCTTTAAACACAATAGACAACATTTTCTTGATGAGACATAAAAAAATTACCTTCACACAGTAATGACTGCTCTTCTTGAGAGGATTCTACAGGTGCTATTTAAGAAAAATAAGCTCTATTAGAAATTAACCTGTATCTTGTTTTACTTATCTTTTAACATATAATAAAAGCAGAAATCCAGTAACACATCACAAACCTCAACAACCCAGAACAATGACACAGCTACCTCAGGTTTTCCAATCAAAATCTGTTTGGCCTACTTTTAAGAACTGTGTGCATCAGGGATGGTGGTAAACACCTTTAAACTCAGCCCTTGGGAGGGAAATGCAGGTGGATCTCTATGAGATGGGGCCAGTCTGGTCTACATAGCGAGTTCCAGGTCAGCTGTGGCTACGGGGAGACTATATCTCAAAAAAGACAAACAACAACAACAACAACAACAAAAACGTACCAGTTGCCTACAATTAAAAAGAAAGCTCGGCACCAGCAAAATGGTTCAATGGGCAAAAAGTTGGCCACACAAGCCTGATGACCTGAGTTCAATCCCCAGAGTCCACATAAAGGTGGATGGAGCTGGGGATAGTCGCACATGCCTTTAATCCCAGGAGTCAGGAAGCAGAGGCAGGCAGATCTCTGCAAGTTCCAGGCCAGCTGGGGTACAGGGAGACCTTGTCTCAAAAAGACCAAAAAAAAAAAAAAAAAAGCCGGGCGTGATGGTGCACGCCTGTAGTCCCAGCACTTGGGAGACAGAGGCAGGCAGATCTCTGCGAGTTCAAGGCCAGCCTGGTCTACATAGTGAGTTCCAGGACAGCTGGGGCTTACAGGGAGACCCTGTTTCAAAAAGACCAAAAAAAAAAAAAAGTAGGAGAGAACCAACTCCACTAAGTTGTCCACAGGCACACTATGGCACTATGGCATATTGCCTGCACACATACTCATATACTAATACATTTTAAAAAGCTACAGATAGCAGCCAATTTTCAGTAATTGAAATGTATTAACAAAAGTATTGTTTGTATTGATTTGTTTCCCAAAGCTTTTCTTCATAGGTGTTATAAATGTAATATAAAATGCAAGGCAAATCCAATTAGTTGGACTGTACTTATCAAAGATAGATCTACTTCTCTTCTGGTAATTCTCCAACCCAAGGAGGCTATGATTATCATGTAGTTCATCAAATCTCCAAATAATTTGATACCAGTAAGATAAATGACATTTGTGTGAGGCCTCTGGAATACATATATTAAAACATTTCCAGAAAAGGTAATTCTAGCTGGCATGGTGGTGCATACCTTTAATCCCAGCACTAGAGAGGCAGAGGCAAGCAGATTTTGTGAGTTTGAAGCCAGCCTAGTCTACATGGCGAGTTCCAGATCAGCTGGGGCTACAGGGGGACTGTTGCAAAAAGACAAAGAAGACCAAAAAAAAGAAAAGAAAAGGTAATTCTGATTATGGCAGTTTAATCCTATTCTAGAATTCTAAGATCAACAATTCAGTTTCCAGTTGTCAAACTGCAAATCTACTCATGAAATCCCTGAACGAGCTATAGGAAAAATATATACTGATACCCAAATATGTAAGTCTGATTTTTTTAATATCTGATAAATATAAACTCCTATATGAAAGCACTCTTAAAGTCTCTCCAAGATGCAGAAACACACCAAAGAATTTAAAGTCACATGACTCACATACATTAAGAATAATGAGTATGTAACCTACAAAACTCATATTTAAAACCACTGTCCTGAGCCGGGCAAGGTGGCCCATGCCTTTAGTTTCAGCACTCAGCAGGGCAGCTGGAGCTACAGGGAGACTCTGTCTCAAAAAAAATAAAATAAAATAAAATAAAAATAAAACAACACTGCCCTTGAATGTATTAACACTCAACAAGAATCAATATAGTGAAATGGGTGAGGTAGTACATGCCTATAATCCCAGCACTTGGAAGGTAGAGGCAGGAGATCAATCAGTCCAAGGCTAGCCTCAACTAATTAGCAAGGCCAAAGCCAGTCTTGGGTTGCATAAGATTGTGTTTAAAGACAACCCCCACCCCCCCAAAAAACCAAAATACTGTTTTAGGGCCTATCTTTAATACCATCAAATGTTGAGGAAAGTAATTTCTGTCCCTGATAAAGCACAATCAAATTTATTATTATTACTATTATTAGGCAGTCTCATTAGGTAGCCCTGGCTGGCCTTGAATTCGATATGCAGACCAGGAGTGACATTGAACTCATGATGATCCTCGAGCCTCTCTACCTCCAGAGTGTTGAGACTACAAGCATGCACCACCATGCCTAGTTGCCAACTGACTTTTTACTAGGTCTCTATGTACCTAGCTATTTAATCTTTCTAAAAGCCCTATAACATAGATACCACAATCATCACCACCTAATACACCAATATACCAGAATTAACTGTGTTCTTTTTCTAAGTTATACAAGTATAATCTTGTCCTTTTTCAAATAGCTCCTTTTGAGGGGTTGGAGAGATGGCTCAGTGGTTAAGAACACTGACTACTCTTACAGAGGACCTGGGTTCGATTCCCAGCACCCACATGGCAGCTACAAACTGTCCTTAACTCCAGTTCCAGGGGAATCCGGAACCCTCTTCTGACCTCCGCGGCACTGCACAACACAGGTATATGCACTTACATGCAGGCCATATACTCATACACATAAAAATAATAAAATATTTAAAACAAACAAAATAGCTCCTGTTGAAAATCCCTGTAACAGTAAACTAAACTATGATGGAGTTATGAGGAACGAAAATTTTTAAGGCAGGAACAATACTAAGATAATTGGTAGTGTGAGATATTCCTAACTGTAACTGAGCATTTAGAAATCAAACAGTACCTGCACGAAACCACCTACGTCCTAGCATTGTTTACATATACAATACATGCATAGGCTGTAGGGGACTTCTTAGGACAGGGATGTATGTCAGGAGACCTGCTCTGTGGAAGGTAGGACAATTGAAGACACTGACACCTGGACCTCTGGTCTCCACATGCATGTGTGCAACACAAAGGATTCTATTATAAGATAAAGGGGAATAAACTAGCTCTAATGCTAGATACATTACCACAAATTTTAAAAGAAGTAAAAAGATTTTGGACCCTCAAGATCAGTTGGCAAGGCACTTGCCTCCAAGACTGATAATCTGAGATCCATTCCTGGGACCCACATAATGGAAAGAGAGAACCTACTGCTGAAGGTTCCTGTGACCTCCACACACGCCACAAATAAACGTAATAATAAAGAATCGAAAAGATCTTGCCAAGAGATATTGTCTAAAATTTAACACAGACAATAAGCTGGATCTTAAAAGTATTTAAATTTGATCATAGAGAAAACACAAAATCAAAGGTTACATATTATATGATCCCACTAATATGAAATATTAGGAACTGGTAAATCCATACAGTCAGAAAGCAGGGAATGGCAAGTAATGCTAAATGAATACAGGTTTCCTTGAAGGTGGTGAAAATGTTCTGGAACTAGACAGAGGTACTCCACCAACAGAAAGCTTATTCCAGGGCTAGGGTGAGTAGCTTAGTGATAGAACATTGCCACATAGGAGGCTTTGGGTTCAAGACTTGAAGTGTGCGCACATACACTCCCCCTCAAGCTCAATTAATATATTTCATGAATTTGTACAGCTTTTGGTAGACCACTAATTTTTACTGAATTAACTTTAGTTTTCTTTTCTTTTTTTCAATAATGTTTTATTTATTATTTTTATTTTATGTGTATTTTATGTATTGCCTGTATTCGTGTAAGTGCACCTATATCCTGCAAGGCCTGCGGAGGTCAGAAGAGGGCGTCGAATCCCCTGGAACAGGATTTATGGACAGTTGTTAGCCAACATTGAGGTGCTGGGAATCAAACCCAGGTCTTCTGCAAGAGCAGCCAGTGCTCTTAACTGATGAACCATCTCTCCGGCCCCTTCCTTTCTTTTTTTCAGTAGCCTGTAATCCCAGCACTTGGGAGGCAGAGGCACGCAGATCTCTGTAAGTTCAGAGCCAGCCTGCTCTACATTGTGAGTTTTTAGACCCTGTCTCAAAAAAAGAAAAGAAAACATTTTGTTAAAGATTAGTTTTTATTTTATGTGTATGAATGTTTTGCCTGTGTGTATGTATGTGCACCACAGGTGTGCAGTGCCATGCCAGATCCCCCCCAGAACTGGAGTTAAGAGTTAGAGGCAATTGTCAGCTGCCATGTGGGTGCTGGGAACCAAACTTGGGTCCTCTGGAAGAGCAGTCAATGCTCTCTCTGGTCCTCTTTTTATTTATTTTGAGGGTCTCCCTATGTAGCCTAGCTGACCTGAAACTCAGTATGTAGACCAGGATGGCCCTGAACTCACAAGAGATCTGCCTGCCCCTGCCTCTCAAGTGCTGGGAGATACCAGACTTGAACCATCACATACAACTTTAATTTTATTTACTTATTTATTGTAAATAAATTGAGAGAGAAAAAGAGAAGGGGGGGAATATAGATGCAAGTGTGTACCCTGTGTGTGGAGGTCAGAGGTTCTTGCCTTCTACCTGGTTGTGGCAGAGCCTCCTGTATCTGCTGCACTACATATTCCAAGCTCTCTGGTCCATAAGCTTCAAGGCAATTCTGTTCCCGCTTCTCATCTCACCAGAGGCATGCTGGGGCTAGATAGATGCTCCACATCTGGTCTTTTACATGAGTTCTGGAGATCAAATTCAGGTTATCCGGTTGTGTAGCTTGTGCTGAGCTATCTCCCTGACCCACTTTTCTTTGTTTAGCTGGAGAGGACATAGATCTCAGAGAAAACCCCAAGGCTGTCACATCCCTAGACAAATGTAATTTCTTACTATGTGCAAAATATGGATCCTTAAATCTATAGACAAGTATCCCAGTCACCACCCATCACAGAAGCTTCTTTTTCAAGAGATAATTACAGAGTTCCACAACTGGTCACACACAGAAATTATCTGTGAATTGTCCAAGCCTAAGTGGCACATCTAGGATGCAACCTCTACATCTAAGGCCCACAGAACATAAAACAAGTGATGAAGAGAACACTAACACATTTTTCAACTCTCATCAACGAAGCTCCGTCA